GATGGTACAATCACTTGATCGAGCCAGCAAGCTGGTGTCGTATATTTCCCCTTTTATACAAAATGGATTTTGGTTGGATAAAACATTAGCTTTTTTCGAAAGATCATTGTTTTTCTATACCATTACTTATTGAAAATGTTTGCGTGTATACCTACTTATATATGCATATGTAAGCAAAAAATTTTAGCTACCACTTTTAGCCACAACGACTTTTTAAGCCCTTTTTTAATGGAATTTGCCCACCATTAAAAATGATTCGCGGCAACACTGTTCGGTTTGCTCTATGCACTGTTTTGTAAATTTCAATGTGAGTTCTGCGCAAAAATACTGTGGATGGCGTAGCCGTAGTTATATGCACGATAAATGTTGTAAACCTTTGACATGCTGAAGCTTCTCTTCGGCAACACAGAAATGAGAATTCTACTTGGTAAGGGTTATAATCCCTAAGCGCGGCCGAAGGCAGAAGCGCAACAGGTGGTCGACATAACAAAGTGCATGTTTTCAATGGCTTGGAAAAACCATTAACTGGATTGAGACCCAGTTCTTCAGGCATAGGAGGAGTTATGGCTTTTGGTTCAACAATTCAACCAGAAGCTGACATAGATGCATTCTGGTTACTATGCCCGACAGACCCGCATATCTTTGTGAATTAATTTCCACAGCACGCTCTTACTATGAGTGTTTTTTTCTTCAATTCCTTTCCACTTAGTTTTCCTTCATACACCTAGTTCCTTAACACGTTCGTCAGAAAATGCGAAAAACTATTTGGGTGAACAAGCTAATTATTCCAAGCTTTGTTTCTTAACAGATAATTATCACAAATTATCACTAATTTCAGCTGGAAAGCGTTTCTTAACCCAAAAAAACTAGCAGCAACAAGCAGCTCTCTATGGTTCTTACGCTCTTATTTTTTTGGTTCTCCTGCTAATTTCTGCTAGTAAAATTTTTACTAGCAGAAACTAGCAGCTGTCAAAATGAATAACCAAAAATTCACACAAGTCGAATATATATAAGGTGGTATCGATTCAACAAATACAACAATTACTTGTATTTTGTTTTTGCTTTTAGCGGGCCATTGTCAAATTTCAGCTATTCTTCTCCGAATGAAAAAGGGCGACAGAAAATGCAAACATTCTCTCGTTTTCACTCACTCACTAGCAAAATATAAAATTTTGACAATCAAACGCTACTCACAGCTGATGAAACAACACTACCTTATATAAATTCACCTTGAATTCACACGCCAAATACTTTCAATAGCCAAATACACAGATCAGCTGTTTACTTGCTAGTTTCTGTTAGTTTTGCGTTTCTTTCTATTACTTTATTTCGCTCTCTGTGAGCGTAATTCTCACAATTTTCCCATTCTTCTTGTTCCTGATAATTATCTGCTGGAAAATAAAAGAAACAAATCCTATATGGGCAAGGGAGACTTTACCTTAGGTTTTTTCAACAAATTATTAAAAAAATTTAATCCAGCATAAATATAAATAAAAGCTCTGGCTACATGATTTCCAAAACGCCAAAGTTTTGAGCTGTGGCGCTTTTAAAGATCGTGTGCGAACTGATACCTGGCGGTGCTACACATATTTCCGAAAAAGTTGCAGCATGTGGATTTTTCGTTGTTCGTAACAGTGCTACGAATTACGAATAACGAAAATTCTGGTTCTAGAATAGGGAGTGTCTACTTACACGTGCCTCGGTAAAATTACCGTAGATCCACGGTGAAATTACTTAGATGCACGGTAAAAATTACGCCGTAAGAAGTTCTGCCCCACTTCTCCGGCAAAACATAATCCACGTAATTTTACCGTAGGTAAAAATTACCGCGGATCTACGGTAAAAGTAACCGTGGCGCGTGTCTGTAGACACTGCATCTAGAATAATAATACATGTTTGCATTGAGTATTTCTTATGGCCCTTGAGTCATGGGTTAAGTACGGATGGTAATGAAAATGGGGAAAAACGGACAATAACCACGCCTACTTCCCATTTAGCGGTAGTTTCATAAATACAAAAGATGGGATATTTCAGTAAAGAATGAATGTTATTTACCAAAAATTGGTGTTTACATAAAATAAGCTCTTAAGAAAAACAAGGAATGTTATAAATACTAAAGTTTTGGAAAGCGGTTCCGTCCACTCATGACTAAAAGTGCTTATCTACATTTATCAGCTTTACCAATTTATTTCAAATTTTATATACATACTAGTTAGAAAAAAAATTTAATGGTTTTTAATAATGCAAACGAACAAAAGTATTAAACATTTTAGTGCATTAAAATTTTTTAATTAGCATTAGCTTGGATAATTTAATGAAAAAAAATTGCATTAGCATTACATTTTTCAGAATTAATGCATTGAAATATTCATTTGCATTAAATTTCATAAGTTAATGCATTAATTTTTGACATTAACATTATTGCTTTAAATACCATTAATGCTTTAAAAAATGAATGCATTTTTCACAACTCTGGTACATAGGTATGTATTGTTTGGATTCAAGAAATATATAATTTTTTGCTCTGATTTGGCATTTTTCCGGAAATGCCTACAGTACATACATACATACATAAACTAGCTTTGTAGAGAAAAAATAAATCTGGATAGGTACCTCTATATATTAAATACAGTCGCCATTGTATAATTGTTCAATGTACTACACATGTACATCCATATACATACATACATGTAATATATGGGTAAGTACGCTGAAAATAAATGCGCTCCACTCATACCTCTAATACGCCCATTATTACAACATGGACTCCTCCACTACTGGAAGCCCTCACGCCATTCGCAGCAACAACTTTTAACAGCCACATTGTACCTTTTCATTGTTGTAGCCCTTCATAGCGTATGAGTGTGTATGTGTGAGTGCAGACTGCGGCAGCCGCCATTCGAACCAGCAAGAAAACAGCTACAGAAACACAACTTTAGCCTTGACGAGAGAGGGTAATGTCAGAGCGCATCAAAGACAATGGCAAAGCTTTTGGTTGGCTAGCACAACTACCGCTGGCAGCAGATGTTCCTGGTTTTGCTGCTGCTCCTCTATTCGTGATGTTCAGCAAGCGTGCTAGTTTACTGACGTTAGTTAGTTTTGGGCCGAGGAGCCCTTATATATGCATGCATGTATGTATGTATGTACTTTCTAGTTAAAAGTGGCGCGGGAATCCTACAAAAGCAAAGAAGAGCCACGAGTAACAGAAACAAAGGAGAAACTTGTTATGGACTTATGTATGTAGGTACATATGCATGTATATTCGGTCTATAGACCCCATTTCAGAATTTGCTCCATGTTGAAGGCTTACATACATACATTTTTAGATAAGTATGTATGTAGGTACATGTGCACTTTTAAAACCTTCTGTCTGCAATTTTCATAATATGATTTCTTCATTGCCAATAAAATCTTGACTTTTATTATTTTGAGCAAGGAATCCCTACGAATTCTTCAAGGCAGAAACTATCAAACTTTTTATTTGAATAGGTACATTAATTACAGATAGGTAACATATATAAAACTATCTACTACCTAGTAATAGAGACCCATTCAATGACTGTAGGGTGAAGAAAATAAAATTATTGAAGCCAAAGCGAAATCGGTGACGAGCATTTGTTCTGATATGCATGCTTGTGTAAAGGCCGGCTTGAGGCGGTAGGGTCGGGGTTGTTTCCCCCGAGTCCGGAAATTTCAAAGGGGCCCGGATTTTTCCGAAAATTAAGTTGGAAGATAAAAATTATTATATTTGCGATTAGTTGATACATTTAATTATTTAATATGTACAGTGAAAGCTCCCATAAGCGGACACCGCTGGTCACCTACTTTTTGTCCGCCTATGAGAGATGTCCGCTAATGGGAATTTCGTAAGAAATAAAATAAAAATTCAAATATAACAAAACTGAAGTTGCGGGTTTCTAACACATATAAAACACATGAAAACCAAGTTTAATAAAAGTCAGATATGTAACTTTTAACACTTCCGCCCACAAGAGTGGCAGGCGTGACAGTTCTTTTCTCAGTGAAAGTAGAAAGTACATACAAAATTTCAACGAAATTGGAAATCGTTTACTATTTTTCAGCAGCTTATGTACATTACACTGTGTAAATTGCCCCAACAAGTTAATGATTATCATAAAATTACATACCCAAAAACAAACAGCTTAACTGTTGTCAGTCTCTACTGAAAATGTGAAAGTGCATTTTGACATAGGCCTGCAAATGTAGTGCGGAAAACTTGGAAAAGTCGTAGCATATAGTCAAAACAACTACTAATCTGTCCTGGCTTAGGTTTCGCCCGCCACGAGAAATAACCAGATAATTATTTGCATTGCTTTTTTTTCATAAAAATATTCGCGGTATGGCGGCCCGCACATATGTAGTTAGTGCCGGCCCTGCATATGTATTATATGTATGAATGTATTGTCGGAGATCGTACTCTTCCACTTATGTACATACATACCTACCTACATAAATCCAACGCGAAATAGTCTGCAGAGAAGCAACCGAGTGAGTGAGCAACTTTGTATACAGTACCCGAAAAAAGCAGATTTGGAAACTTTTTTAATTATGCGACTGCACGACCGCCCGCCTGTCCGCTTAACATTGAGCGGCCTTTGAGTTATGTCAGCCGCATTTGCTGCATCACCACCGCATATGCATATACACTCTAAAAAAATTTTGTGTTACTTTTTAGGGTTTTAGGTTACTGATTTCCTACATTAATATTCGCGAAATTAAATGCTCGATTATTCAACGAATAGTTTGTTTAAATTTCGGACTTCTCAGAGAGTAATATAGTGGTGTGCGTAAATTTACTGCGAAAGTGTGTACAAGCTACAAAATACACATCTGCTGTACGATTTCGCTTGTAGAATTGTGGAAAGCCACTAACAAAAAGAATTTTTACACATGAAAATGCGCAAACGAGAATAATACATATTTATCGTGTAATTTTACCAAAAAATTTTAAAAGTAAACAAAAATGTACTCGCATTTTTAAACAAATTTTTTAGAGTGCAATTCTGAACGTCTTGCTTTTGCTGTTGCCATTTCTCATTGTTGTTGCTGCTGTTACTGTTGCGGTGGTTGTTGCAGAGTAAATGCCAAAGAAACTCTGCAGGTCACAATAGAGGGTTGGAGCAAGCAGTTTCAGTTTCAACCCTCGCTTGTGCGCCTCATTCATTCGCTCTCTCACTCGCTCGCTCACACGCATTTAGTTCATATGTGTTGTTGTATTGCGTTGCCTTTGGCTAAATGTTGCAGTGTGTGCAATTGGTAGCGGCGGAGTAACTGGTTGCCCGTTTGGTAGGCTTAAGCGATTGCTTGGTTGGTTGATGGACGCGATGACTGGGGGCTTCGACGGTGCTTGGCAAAGTTGATTCAGTTTCAAATGAGTATCCGTCGTGTAACAACGCAGAATCGGTGACAACGTGCAATGACACACACATAGATATACAACAAATCGGAGTTTCAAAGGCTAGATGGTTGTGAGCGAAAGAAAAAAACCAAGTGATTTTAATTATATTAATAACAAAAAACAAAGAAACTAAATAATTGCAATACGCACATACACACGTATACATACATATAACTATGTGCATATGCATATGAATGCAAGTTGTTGTTAGTGGGAAACGAATAAAAACTTACATAAAGAAGTCATATACATATGTAAGCCTGGGACCCCTGTTCGTGTAGTATAAAAACCCTATTATCATAACAAGTTTTGCAAAATATTCAAGGCCTCGCACGTGTGAGAATATTTTAATGGAACTGCTAGTTCAAAAACGCACTAATCAACTCAGTGACTCTAAATTTGTATAAACGTTTTCTGTGCAAATTTTATTTTCGTCCGATTCGCCAGCAATTCTCTGGCTGCTCTACCGTCGGCAACAAAATGAGTCTACCCAGCGGCGTGGATATGCAAAATTTAATGTCTCAACATCCAGTTTTAGGCGCACTGCCGCCCGCGTTTTTTCTACGTGCCGCTTCTGAGCGTTATCAGCGAACACCGAAATGTGCGCGTTGTCGCAATCATGGAGTGGTGGGTGTAAAATTTATCTATTAATTTAAGGCTTTAATATGGAATTAAATACGGCTTATCTCTTTTGAGAGTCAGAAAACGTCGACAATCTGAAAAAGTATTTTAAAAAATTTTCAAACTTTGCTTTATCGATCAGTGTGGGGAAAGTTATATGAAAAAAATAAAATTTAAAAATAATTTTAAATAACATATTTAGTTTAGTAATATGTAAATGTTATCAGCCAAACCCGATCTTAGGACAAACTAGTTTGTGTAGGCTAAACTAGATCACGCGCCACAGTAATTTTTCAGCGTAGGCGGCCTTCGGCCGCACTTCAAAAAAAATAACCCTCATTAGTCCAACTCCAGCTACGCAGTCCACAATATTGTTGCATCCAAGTTGTTTCCGCGGTGGACGGATGTATCGGATATAGGTAAAACTAGTTCAGCCTAGGAAAAACTAGTTTAGCCTAGGAAAAACTAGTTTGTCCTATAATCGGGTTTGACCGGTAACATACATATATACAAATACATGCATATACATATATGTACCCTGCAAAAAATGGGACTAATCCGGGATGACTCCGGGAGCAATCGCAAAGAAGCATGCGACTAATACCACTTTTGATCTCTCTGTTCGCTTTTGTTCGAGCATGTCCTATGAAAAGACTAATTGTTAACCTTTATACCCGAATGGGTATAAAAAGCGACTAGTCACTTTAAAAAAATATAAATAAACATTTGCACCAGCTGAGATTCGAACCGGATTGTTCAGTTTGGTTAGGCGAACACTCTCTCTGTGTGACAACGCCGCACATGAAATTTCATTGACTAAGTGCGTACATATCATTAAATCGTTAATAGTACCCGTTAGAGATGAGTTGAGGAATAATTGATCTCCAATTATACCCATAAGGGATGAGTCGAGACTAATTGACCTCCATTAATACCCGTATGAGACTAGTTGGGACTAATTAATGCCCAATTGTACCCGATTGAGAGTAATCTCGGAATACTCTCTTTAGAGATTAGTCGCACAATTTTTTGCAGGGTACATATGTAGGTATGTATGTATGTACTCGTATTTAATATCAAACATTTCACTTTGGGAATTTCTAAAGATTTGAACTATAACAAATTTTTTTTTCACTTTTATTTCAACATATTTTGATTAACCGTCCTATTCCCACAACACTGACAACACTCAGCGGCTGACTATTTATTGCCTTTACTACTGCGCCTAATACTATGCCGCAAATTTATTTTAAGCTCTCGTATGGTGACAATTGTCAGTGTGGTTGTTATGACCTACTGAGTATGCGACAACGGCGATTGTTTATACATATTGTGTTTTAAGCGCAATAATTGTGATACTAGTCATACGATGAATTTTGTCAGTGTGTGGGAATAGGGCGGTAAAAGAAAAATACTGATAAAAATAAAATATTTCACACAAACAACAAAAAATATAATATAATATATAATCCCATGAGGCTATTGCCTGAAAATTTTAAAATGCACTTAGTGGCATTGTCCTACTATGATAGCACGGCCGAGTAATCATAGTCAACTTATGTATAGTAGACTGCATCACTCCCCATACAAAAAAAATCGGTACTATTTTCCACTGGAATTATACAATCTATTATATTTTATGACTTCCACCAAAATATCTCGCAAAAATACTAAGATTTACGTTAGGTGGACGGATTTGAAAATATCTCCAAAAATGAGTTTTATTTTATTAATAAAAACATATTTTTTTTAATATTTTTTGAAAAATCACCTCAGATGACTAAACAGTTTAAGCTTAAAAAGTTTGCATAAGATTATTAAAAAAAAAAAATCTACAGAAACATAACAATGAAATTTTTGATGTTGTTTTTGAACTTTTTTCAAAGACTAGTTTAAGAAAAACTTGAATAACTCAGTCAAAACCATACCAATTTAGACTTATGAGGTATCATTAGTGAGGTATTTTCTCACCCTTTTAATTTCTTTGCGAATAAGCTCATTCAAAATATGAAAGAGGAAGGTAAAATAAACGATTGTCATTCCATGCTGATTTAAGAAGTAATGGTATTTGATAAGGAAAAAATTGGGACGTGAATGCGTTTTTTGCAAAGAAATGAAAAGTGTGAGAAAATACCTTTCCAGTTATATATCATAAGTCTATATCGGTAAAGTTTTGGAGCAGTTATTCAAGTTTTTCTTACACAAATCAGTGAAAAAGGTTAAAAAACAGCATCAAAAATCTTATTATAATGAATCCGATGATACAATTTTTTAGTATTTTTATGTAGACTTTTACTTAAACTATTTTGTCATTTGAGGGGAGTTTTTACAAAAATCCTTTAAGAAACTATTTTTATTCATAAAAAACCTCATTTTTATAGGTATTTTCAAACCCGTCCAGCTCACGTAAATCTTGATATTTTTCCGAAATATTTTGGTAGAAGTCTTAAAATATACTAGGTTTGGTAAAGCCCTCAGAAAAACCGCAACTTTTTTACTTTTTACCTTTATAGGTTTGCAACTCGCAAAAACATCGATGTTGAGAAAAAAACCTTGATGTTAACAGCTTATATAAAAACATCGATGCATCGATGTTTCCATCGATACCCAAATATTTTTCTTTATCCCAATCACGAAAATTAATTCGTTGAAAATTTTCAGTAGAACATCGTTGTATTGTAGAAACCTTTTGAAAAAAAAAATGGTCCCAATTTTTTTATTTTGTACCAATAGAGCAATATAAAAATTTACAAATCTGTACAAATGTACCAATGTAACCAATGTCTTAGAAATTTATACAATAAAAAAAAAGTCAACAAATTGTCGTTTTTTAATTAGATTATGAGTATGTAGTTTTGTAGCCAATTGAATTCTAGTAGAATAAAGTTTTGAAATGGCTAAAAATTAGTATTGATTTTTTAGAATTTTAAAATAGCTCGATATTTGTACGAAAGTTTGTTGATTTTTTTTTAATATTGCACAAAGTTGGAAACTTGGATTTACACGGGTTTTGTTAAAGAATGAACTATATTTTTATAAAAAAATAACCAAAATTAAATAACAACAAAAATAATACTTTAAAACTTGGAAAAAAGTGGTTCGGCTACAACCCCCTCCCCCCTAAATATGGCCTTGCCCTAAAGTTCACAATGTGGTCAAAATTGCCTCTAAGTCAGTGGGAAATTTAGTATATGAGTGTTTCCATCGGAAGGTCCACCACGACAAAAAAAAATAAAAATCTTATATCTAACGTATTTACGGGCCGATTTGTCTGCTTTTTAAAATATATACTGGCTATGTAAGTAGAATGATGTTTGCGTAAAATGGTCTTCCTAGGTGGCGCCAAGGTTGAGATATTTCGAAAAACCGTATTTATCGGACCGATTTGGTTCTAATTTGGCGTATGTAGTTGAAACATAATAAGTCATAGATTTCCAACAAATTCACCAAGCAGTTCGATTGTTTTCATTTTTCGGCTAAGTATATAGCTAATTATTCCTTGTTTGTTTCACATTGAAACGTACGAATGTCACGTATGCGACGTATGGAAATACCCATATATTGAATACTTGCGCCGGGTACTTTTCTGGGAGAATTTTTCAGCGGAAATGTGTCATAAAGATATAATTTAATATGGAAATCGATCTTTCAATTAATGTAACTGGATAATAAATATTTTTTAAAACAGCAAAAATTAGTTCAGCGTTATCAATAATTTTCAGCTCTGGACATCAACGAAGCCTATAACCGGAATATTTTAAATTTCACTGAATGTGCATGAAGAGACATGCAAAAATTATCGTTTTAATTAACATTGATTTTGGTGCTACCAAACCTTATTTTATCATTATTTTTATGAAATTTTACATTACACACTGTAACTCTGAATATTTCAGAAAAATAACTTTCTTGTTTTTTGGTTAGTACTGTACCATACAAACTCAATGTACTAGATACTTTGTTCTTCCTACAGTTTTTATTTTGCCATTAATTAGCACCACAAACAAAAAATTGGTACGATTTGTCCCGAACCAACGATGGTATGCTCCCAGTATTGCCACAAAAAACCCATTTTCCTCAAAAACAAATGAAAAATCCTCAAAATCCGAACAAATAGCTCAAAATTTTTTATTACAGATATGAGTGTTGTGTACTTGGTTCTTGCGGTTCAAACAAAGTATCACCGTTATTTTTTATGCCTTGGTTTGTATGTAATATTGCTGCAACTATATCAGTGCTCAATCTGGTCCTCAAGTCAGTCCTACACATTTTTAAACTACTAAATATAAGTTATATTGAAGCATTAGAAAAGGGCTATATTAGTAAAGCAGATATAATTTTTTTAATTGGGAAACTTATATGAACCTGAAAAATCTATTAATTCAAAAACTTTTTTCCTATAATCTTCTGGATCTAATGAGGAATCAATATGAATATCCTTGTGCGTGTTCTCTCTATTCGTTATCGAGATGTTGCAAGTTCAATATAATTTAAGATCGAAAAACACCACACAAGCGGCTAGAAAAACCAAGCGAAATATCCCTTTGCTTAAACAACAATAATAGAATACAAGATTGGACCAATCGAGCTGAGAGCAACTGGGTGTGACGTCACATTATTATGAGAACGAGAGTGTAAAGAATAATTTTGAAGAAGAAGAGGAAGAAGCAAACAAGTGGTGCGAAATAGTGATGTAAAACTAGGTTGAATTGTACCTACTCTTAAGCTTCTTAAATTTGAGCGTACATTCGGTACAAGCGCATTATTTTAGGTACATTTGGAACGTAGTCAAATATTGTTTTATCTAAGTCCGAAAGTTGATATAGTACAGAAGGAAGTTGTAGTCTACCAACTATCAAAAATGTATGCACATAAAAATACATGTTTACTGTTTAGATATGTGTATCTACATTTAGGTATAACTTTTCGGCAAATAGGTACAATATGAAAATGTAATATTTATCACTAGTGCGAAAAAATAATAATGTGGCGTCAGCGAAAGGGTGGATGCTGTCAAATCGAGAAAGAGAGGATTAGCGGTCCGCGGAAGGCGCCACCTTTGTTTCGCTGCATCGTGTTGCTTAAAGCTAATTATCTTGTGTATGGGGGTGTTGAAGGTTTGACAAGCCGTTTGAGGGAAATGTGAACAAAAATTAATTTTTTTTTTTTTCTGGCTGCCATGTTGACGTTTGATCAAACCGCTTACGTTGTGTATGATAAAATCGCCTCATTCGCAACGGAAATTTTACCGAATGAGGACGCAAAAATCTAAGAAATCCAAACCCTTTTACATTGTGACCCGGAAGGAAACTAAAATTCTTTACTTGAACGAGTCATATTTGCATGGTGTATGGCGAAATGGGAAAAGTAGGTTTGAAGGACGTTTGACAAGCCGCTTGTGCGGTGTATTTTGGTCTTTTTAACAACTCTGTTGTGTAAAACATGGTTGCATTTGTTATCTGCAAATATATCGAGAGAAAATTCCTCAAAATAAAAGTCCTCAAAAAATACTCAAGCGCACCCGAAATTCCTCACGTTTTGAGGAATTACTCACAAAGTGGCAACACTGAATGCTCCTAATGTTATTTTATTGAAGTTGAAAATACATATTGAACTTGAGCCATGAATAGAAAGTACACCAAAGACAGCGCTTTGAATGAAGCTTGTTCATTAGGTTTTTCAAATTATAATATTTCCAAGTACCAACAATTTGCAGTTCGCTACTTAAGTCTTTCGTTTTTTTACAAGATCGAACTCCAAGGAAGAAGACTAGAAGAACAATAAGCGAATGGAGGTCATGGTAAATTTCACTCTTAACACGATTTTTGTCGAAACATTTTCCGTGGGATGATTAATGGAAAATTAGATATAGATCTAAAGCTCAAGCTCCATAAGCTCTCGAAGTCGTTCAGCCTTTTTAGGTTTCACAAGCCATTTTCGCGCTTGACATTTCTCCATTATGTTTAAGGCTATGAAGTCGCTACAGAAATCTTATCGAACTCCTTATTCTCTAAAAATCTATTTGGATTTATGCTACGAAATTATGAACAGTTTGTGGACGAGACTTACACAAACGGCTTTAATTCGGGAGTGCATTTGGAAGTGTAAAAATAGTACTACTATAACTGGGGAAAAATATCCAATAGTTTTTTTTTATTTAATGGAACGTTTAATAATTACTTCGCTAATTTTTGAACTTCCGAAAATATTCTTTCACATTTGCTGTGGAATGCAAAGGACAGTTAAGACTATTTGTATCAAATGAGGAAACTCTGCTACTACATCATCCCGTTTCATTTAAAAATTTATTTGAAAACAACCTAAAGAGAAATTGTAAATCAATCGATAAATTCGGAAGTATCTAAAAAAATGTAATTTGTGCTTGTCTAAAAACTGCAAATTACATTTAAAACTGTGAACCTGTCAGCATTGCATCTGATAAATAAGCGCGCCTGGTGTTGGTATCTCTTCTTCTAGCATATATAAATTTGATGCGCTAGAGAGAGATAAGCACACAAGCAAAAAGCTCAACGCGCTAGGTTGGATATAGCTATCTAATTGGGCATTTAACCTAAAATATTTCATTGACAAAGTTGGGCAATAAAAAGTTGGGCATAAATAATTTCCACCAGGGTTTTAATTTACAAAAGGTTGTGTCATACCAAAATATCATGTAGAAACAAACTCAATGACTACATATTTGATACTGTCCACGAAGTCAATAAATTATTTTTCGTTTAACGCCCAGAAAAAAAATGCTAATGCTAAAGGACGGAAAATTGAATAGCCAAGTTCGACATTGAACAATATTTATATCAATACTTTAGTGTTATTTATCATTAATCTTTCCTTCGGCCCTTAAGTCTGAGTGGTTAGAAGTGCGCACTACCCCTCCGTAGGATCTGGGTTCTATCTCAGGTCCGGAAAATAACTAAATTAGAAAGAGTTTTAATAGAAGTTAAAGGGCAAACATTTTTGAACGATTATATTTATGATTTATACATTACCTATACTTACAGAAAATCGGTATATTTACGAGATTTGTGTCGTTACGAGGCATTTACGTGTTTAGAAGAAATGCCTATATTATTTCCTTATTAATTTGATATATCACTACCCCAAATTTGTATAAAAATCTATAGCCACCTCACGTTTAATCGTAAGATTTTTCTATTTAACATGTTTGTAAATCATTTTAGCCCTCCTATCATCCTTAGTAAACATGCAAGGAATTACTTCCAAATAAGGATCAAAAGGACCCAATGTAGTAGAAATAATGAGGTTCTAATATTCCTTGAAAAAATTGATTAAGTCTAATGTTACAAAATTTACTAAAAAGTAGAAGCTTACCAACGCAGTAAAACATTGTTTTTGATGAGATTTAAGGCACTGATACTCCAGTGTTATCTGTACCGAACTTTAGTTCAAAATGAAAATTTTGCAAAGATAATTTTTATTCAATTTTTCATTGTTTTTTGGCTGAAAAATGCAGTCCTTTTTTTGCGAAAATGATTCGTTGTAGTTTCATAATAGTGAATCGTGTTTTATGATCTTGCTTAATTATTTTTATTTTTATTATGCCATAAGTGGTCATTGAACCCACTGAAACCAACCGAACCGAATCGCACTTCAGAGGTACCCGCGTGTGATTTGAAGCTCTTCTTCAAATTTTGAAATAAAAACTAGAGCCTTCTATGTTACAGTATTACCAAGAATTAAAAGAAAAAAAATCTTTTTGTATACACCAGACCAGAAGTAAATGACCTCGATATTTAACATTCAAGAAAGCATAAGTAGTTTTATGAGTAATAGCCTTACAATTTTTGTTCAGAAAAATCCATTCAAAAAGATTTAAGAAATTTCGGGTGAACAGATGTTTAAAAAATTGAAATCGGTGTAGCAAAAATTGAAACGGAAGGATCTTTCTCCAAACAGTTATAGTTAGAATGCGAATGAGAAACTTCTGGAGTATATGGGTCCCTTTTATTATGTGTCTATAATAAAATTTTTGTATACCTGAACTTAGAGCGTAGCAAGCTACGCTGGGTATACGCTAGTGCTATGTAGTGCATAGGCACTTTATTATTATTTTTAAACAATTTGCTTTTTCTTTTATCTTCCAACAGGTTAGCGCACTTAAAGGACATAAGCGTTATTGCCGTTGGCGAGATTGCGTTTGTGCGAAATGCACATTGATTGCGGAGCGACAACGCGTTATGGCCGCACAGGTACGCATTAAGGTCGATTCACAACTAACAGCACGGAACGATGCGTTACAATACTTTAGAAACTGCTATCAAGTAAATGAAATGTAACAACGAAACCAAAAACAAAAATGTAGAAATCATAATTCGCACTCAGCGGCAGCGAAGTGCAAAGGAAGCATTAGCAAAAACTTTACTAATTGAAAAGAAAAATAAATTACAAGACAACTTTTTGAATATAAATAATTTGATGTAGAAATGATCCAACAATGATAGACGTTTAAAATTAACTGTTGAAGGGCTTTGCTTTGCCAAATATTTATTGAAAAAAAACTAATAGTATACCATTTTCTGTGCTGTCTCGTGCCGTTCTGTGCCCTGCCAGTGGGTGTGAATCTATGTACACATGTATGCAACTTTGCACTCTATTATTAACAAGCACACTTCTACCTTTTCCACTTAAGCCAAATATAATTTCTTTACTTCTACCTACCCGTTTTGTTTCGCTCTACTTCAGGTCGCACTGCGTCGCCAACAAGCACAGGAGGAGAATGAAGCTCGCGAATTGGGTCTACTCTACACCAATGTACCGCCTGGGCAGCAGAATGGCGTCGAAGGTGGTGGTGGCAGCGGTGTCGGCGTCCCACCAAATCCACACAGCCCCCCGCCACCGTTGACAAATGCCTCCGGCGCCTTTCATACCGGCATTCCCTCCCCGCCCAGCGATGGCTTGGACACCAGTAACGGTCAACGTATGCAGTACAATGGCAATGAATCTGATACAGATGTGCGAATGCGTTCTTCAGAACGTCTTTCGATGGGCTATTCGCCGGATCGCAGCACCGAAGTGGAGAGTCCAGGTGAGTTGTAGTGCAACGAAATGAATAGTGACAAAAAGTGAAGGAAAAGCTGACGCTAGGAGTGGTATGCCAGGGAAAAGGTGTCCCAAATGACGTGCAATGTTGCATGTACATTTCATGACACTTTCCTGTTCTACTTGTTGCTATTGTTGTTCGTGAGGTTGATGCCATTGTTGTACTTAAGCGGTGAAGTGTGTTTGCGCGCACTTTGGCGACTTCCGCGCAAGAAAACCATTAAAGGCCAGCAAAAATTATAGCAATACGTTTATTTTAAATAACGAAAACGCTTGAACGCTCAGTGTGCGTTGATGGAAGTGCAGCGGTGCATTGAGTGCTTATTCGAGTGGGCGCGTGTTTGTGCGCCTGAAGTTTAATGCGCCAATTGTGGCAAAATCGAATAAAATGTGGAGGCTTTTTGGCACTGTTGTGTGGATGTGCAAAAAGAAGGCGTAGAGAAATTTGTTGATTTAAAAACTCAAATGGAACGTCCTACTTTCCCTGCAAAGTTATATTAAACCGAGCGGTATCTAACTAGATTTTGTGTTAAATATACATATGTACATATTTGCCGTTGTTCGATTTTCTACTTCTTCTTTGGCTCTGTAGCCGCCTAAGCGATTTTGGCCGAGTTCAACAAAGCACAGCAGTCATTTCTCTTCTGTGTCAGCTGATACCAATTGGAAATGGCAAGTAAAGCCCAGTCCTTCTCCACCTGGTCTTTCCAACGCAGAGCAGCCTTCTTCTTCCTCTGTTGCCAGCATCGCGGCCCGCGTTGACTACTTTCAGAGCTGGAGCGTCCGTGTCGATTCGAACGACCTAGCCAGCGCAGCAGCTCAATTTTTATTCGTTGCACTATATCTATATCGTTGAAAGCACGATGCAGAAAATGAAGGTGGCGCCATTCGCGGACCGTTACCGCTCTCTTCGTCGATTTGACAGCATCCACTCATTCGCTGAAGTCGCACAATACTTTTGTTTACATTTACTGTATCCAACTTGGTGCTTTTCGCACCTAATTTAGTGGGTATTCAAACCGCCAAAATTGTTGAGTTTAGTATTTGGTGCGTTTTTGGTACTTTTGTTTTAAGTTTGAATACACCAAATTTGTAAACCTTAAAAAACTGTAAGCAAAATTTATAGCAATCATAAGTATACAAAAATTTAGACAAAATCTTGGCACAGTCACAATCATAAGCGACAACAAAATATCTGGCAGCACCTTCAATCATGCCAGAAGAAATCGACCGTCGTGCAAGAAACATTCATTTTTATAAATTTGAATATGTATGCATATAAAGTCAAATAAGTACACCAATCAAAATTTGATGCTTTTTCAAATTCAAAGCTTGGCAATACTGCCTTTTGTTCGATGCCTGCTTTTTTTCTTTTCTCTCTCATTCTGGTATTTGATCAATCGTAACCATTTTTTAGGCTTGCACAAGATTATTTATAGAATAAGAAATCGTGTAAAACTATTCGTCAATGTGAAAAATTAAAACAATGGGTATGTAGATACTATGAATGTATGTCAAATCGCACTTTCTGATACTACTTTTTGTTTATTTCCGCGGTGCACGTATGTATGTAGGAAATTTCACTTTCAACCGTGTAACCAGACATTTTATGCGCATAAAAATATTAATGACTTGAAAGATCAAAATTAAAAAGTTATAATAAAAAATAAAAAATTAAAAGTTTACTTCTCCAAGCGCCCTCGCTTGACTTGAATCGTGCTAGCGTAGCAGTCAATGGCACTGTGAATATTCTTCGAAATTATAGAGAAAATGCTCACACACATTTTTCTGATATATTTTCAAAAGTTACCGATATCGATAAGGAATTGGATTTTGATATTGTCCTTCCTCGGAGAGCGAATAGACAAAACAGCGAAAGGCAATATTTATACCGCTATTGGATAATATTTTGCTCTATCTCCGAGAAAGATTGCCGGAAGAGTCATTAAACATTTTTGATTTGAACTTATTACTTCCATCTAAAAGTGGGGAATATAATACGCCTGACGAAAAAAATAACGCTATCGAATCGCTTGGAAAACGATACGAACTTTTCTTAGAAAAAGACGGTATCAGTTTGGAAGCAGAGTATAAAGTGTGGTTGGAACGATGAATAAATAAGGAAAGCGAAAAGCCATTCCCAAAATCAGCAGCAGAAGTTCTTGGTAAATGCGATGAATATGCTTGTACATTAATTAACAAACTTCCCCGCATTCTGGTCACACTTCCAGCTAGTAACGCTACTTCCGAAAGAAGTTTTTCAACCCTTCGCCGGTTAAAAACATGGTTGCGTAGTACCATGAATGAAGAATGACTGATAGGTATAGCACTTTTACACGTACACTTAGATATTGAAATTGACACTGAAAGGATAATCGAAAGATTCGCAGAAGGAAAGCGCAAAATTGAATTTGCAATTTAAATTATTACAATAAAAATTCTGAATAAGTTGTTAAGTTACTTAATTACTTCTTAAAATCTTAAAAATTAATTTCAACGGAATCGTAGTAATGAGATTTTTCAACTTTATAACTGGACCAAAACTATTCCGATTAAGACTTGTGAGGTATCATTGGAAAAGTATTTTCCCACCCTTTCTATTCTTTCCAAATAAATGGATTCAAAGTATGAAAGAGAAAGGTAGGATGAACGAGCGTCATTCCAAATTGAATTAAGTAAGATGTGTTTGTATTAAAAAAAAAAAAATGGCACGTAAATGAGTTTCGTTTGCATTGAAGTAAAAATAGGGCGAAAATACCTTTCTACTGATACCTAACAAGTCTAAATCGGAATAGCTTTGGCCAGTTATTGAAATTTTTCTTAAACCAATCCTTCAAAAAAGTTAAAAAAACATATTTTGCATATTTTTATGCAGATTTTTTAAGCTTAAAATGTTTTGTCATCTGAGGGGATTTTTTTCAAAAAGGTTTTTAAGAAACTATTTTTAGTCATAAAAAAACTTTATTAGTGGAGGTGTTTTCAAATCAGTCCAGTTCTCGTAAATCCTTATATTTTACCGAAATGTTTGGGTGGACGTCTTCAATTATAATAAACTAGCAGACCACTTCGTCCCGCCCAAAATTTTTATATGTTTTATTGAATCTTTTTGGTCCAACATTTTCACCAACAATTCACGTTTACGATTTTCATTGGCACATTCGTCTGCTAAGATTATGGTTTGGTGGTCATTTGCCGCTTTAAATAACCTAATAAATATCCGTGAAGAAGTTCTTGAAATTCTCCAGTTGTGCGGCATTTCATAGTACGGTTATTCGCAAAGCGAAATAAATTTTTTCCTCTTCACTCCTTGGCGGCAACAATGACCCGGTTCTATAGTAAATGTCCTAGAAGCTTTACAGTATAGTTGGTGGCACTTTCAAAATGGGTGCGAATCATTGTTCTACAGAAATGCAATATACATATACTTATTTCAGACGAAATACCTTAAAAGTTTGAACGCATAATNTATAACTAGAATAGAGTATAGATTTTGCAATCCCGGCACCGTAGTGTTTAAAAAAAAAAATGGAACAAACTTTCTTACAAATTACAATTTTTTAAATATTCTATAAAATCAACCGTAATTTTTAGCCTTGTACTTTATTCTGCTAGAATTCAATGGGCTACAAAGCTGCATGCTCAGAATCTAATTAAAAACTCGCAATTTTTTCAAAAATTCGTACATTTGTACAGATTTGTGCATTTTGATATTGGGCTAATGGATAATTGTCCCAATATTTTTTTATTTTGTAGTCAAAAGCTTGGTACAACACAGTAGTCTTGTGTTAAAAAATTTCAACAAATTATTTTTCCCTACTGGGATAAAGAAAAATATTTGGGTATTCACACAATTGGGATACGATTTCCCACCAAATTTCGGCAAATTCCCAATCGTGTGACACTGCCTTTAAACTTGTATTTATACGGATGTTGGTAGAGAATGAACAATAAAAAACTAACCAAAATTAAATAACAACAAAACTAGAGAGGGCCAGGGTTCGAATTCCACTGCAGGTAACATGCAAATTAAAATTTTTTTTTTTTTTGGTTTTTATCTTGATTATTTACTTCACGGATGCTTTTTAAAAATGAACCATTATACAGTACATTCGTTAGCGTTTATAGTAAGATCAATTACGTTTCTGATTGATTTTAATATTTTTTTGCTCAGTGTATGGGAAAATTAAAGGCTCGGCGCGGAACCTGTTACAATTGTCCTAGAGAGGGGAGACTCAGGATTTTTTTTGACGGAGTCTAGTGTACATACATACATATATACATATATATATATACATACGTACGTGCTGAAGCCGTTTCGGTATTTAAAATTTGCATTAAGTTGATACAATTTTAAGGTTATTTTACTTAAAGGGCACGCAAATGTATTTTACAAATGAAACAAAGAAAAAAATGAATGTACCCAACCGTCAATATCCACTCAGCAAGGTATCGCCCAAAATGACTTAATTAAATTATATCCATGTATTCGGTACTTCAACAAGTCACAAAAATAACAACTGAAACAAACAAAAAACAAAAGCAAATAAAATATTGTAGGAAATTCAGAAGATATCATATATCTATTTAGCTTATTGTTTTACCAATACACTGCATGTTTCTAGGCGACCAGCACCTGCCTGCCATTCAATCTAGCCCATACTCGTTTGTGTGTGTGCGTAGTTTGTTGCCCATCAACCCCAAACCATTTTCTAATGTTTACAGTTCCCGTGATTAAATTTTTTTCCACATCAATTCGATACTTTCTTTTGCCAACAAGTAGGGCACCAAAGAACTGCTATAACTTTTTCTTCTGTTCTTTATTTGTATTTACCTTCGCAGTATCAAATGTCTGTTTCACTATAAAAATTGCAAAGGTGCGCTTTGAAGGAAATTGTGAAAATTTCATTGTTGAGGCCGTTGTAGCGAAAGGAAGTGATTCTTTATTTACCATTGATGGCTTATGCAAATTTGCTTTAGTAAGTGGAGTCATGGCTTAGAAATGCTAAGCATATTTGTAATTTGAGAATGCGGATTCATGTATGAGAAATACATATGTATGAATGTATGTATGTATGTTCGTCGATACATACATGCCCATTCAAATGGTGATAGAAATTTTGGATTTATAAATGCTAGATGGAATTTTTTCATCAAAGACGCAATTATGTGCATAGCACAAAATTGTCAGTTTTGCTGGAAAGTACTTACTAAGTATTGGGCTACAAGGTAATCATATAAATGAATTAACAAATTAAAATACTCGTCTCGTGAATCGGTTTTCCGGGAATAAGTATGTGGCGCCTAACACTGTGGCGCAAAGAGATCGAATCTGGTCGCGGGGCAATGGGCCTGTAGACATACCCTTACATCACCAAAACCACATCACTGCTCGATAATTAATTTAACGAAATCTTTATTTCACGTGTTGTAAACGATACCCTTATTTCCCATTTGCTTTTATTTTATTTACTAATTCCGTTCTTTTTAATTTTGTTTCCCCCACAGGCTCCAAGCGCGCCCGCCTTTCCAACGAAACTGATCAAGATACCGGTTCCGAATCCTCGCCCAGCAGCCCCCGCATGAAGGGTCGCAACTACAATGACTCTGGCAATCATTCACCCACACGCACTGGTCCACCCAGCTCACCCGAGTCCGATTTGGATGTCGACTCTGCGCCTGATGAAGCAACTCCGGAGAATCTTAGCTTGAAAAAAGAGGACTCCAATTCGCCGCCAAACACGCCCGCTGACAACTTACATTTGCTACGCACCTTCAACAATGGCGCCGCGCAAGGTTTTATCCCATATCATCACTCGCAGTTCCTTGCCGCTGCCATGCCTGCTGCAGCTGCCGCCGCGGCCGTGGGAGTACATCCACACAATCAGCATTCACCACATGCGCAACACCACCACCACCATCAACATCATGCACAGCATCAGCAGCAGCAACAGCAACAACAACAGCAGCATGCACTGCCGCTAGCTATGGCCCAGCAACAAATGCAGGCGGGACAGCCGCAACAACGCTCACCCGTCGACGTGCTGTTGCGCGTTTTTCCCAATAGACGTCGCAGCGATGTTGAGCAGCTGCTAGCGCGTTATCGTGGCGACGTACTGCAGGCTATGGAAGCAATGCTCTCCGGCGAAGATATGACGCAGGCACTAGCCTCGGCGGCAGTTGCTGCAGCTGCCGCGTCGGCCGCAGCATCGCCCCCCAATGTGCCGCCTTCACCACCATTTCCGCTCAAGTCAGCATTCTCACCGCTGGTACCACCCGCCGCAGTGTTTGGTTCGCCGACGCACCGGTACCCGCCGTTCATGCAGGCGCATGCGAAACGTTTCTTAGCCGGCCCCTACGCAGGTGCTGCTTACCTGCCAGGTGTGCTGCCGCCGGATGTGGTCGATCAAGCGGAGTCAAATGGCGGCACTTCCATGGATCGCAATAGCAATGCCGGCGATTCGCAAGATTGAAAAAGTTGCTTGGTAGAGAGTCATTTGAGCATGTTCAGGCCGTATGTGTAGCGCACATAAAAATCCACAAAATTTAAAAATGCATATTAATTAATTGTACATACATTTTCTGTAAATACCGAAATACAATGTTGGAGAGGAAATAAAAAAAAAAAAATTAATATCAAACTAGGGAACAATCAACAAATAAATATGCATTTTCGCCAGTGTTAACAAATAATTAGTGTATTTTATTCAAATATGTCTTGAAACGAATAATGTTTAGAGTTTCGTTCTGTTTAAAATTTTAATTGATTTTCAGTTGTAGAAAAACTTATATCTAGCTCTAGTTAACCAATAACTAAATACTTACAGTACTTAAAAAAATAGAATTACATATGAGTTCTAGACAAAAGGAAATCAATAATCAACACAAAAACTATATAATAAAGATTTTGAATAAATTTAAATGAAGTGAATATGTATTAAAAATATAAAATTGTAGTTTCTAATTTTAAGAACAATTATGTATTATCTATTGTAAAACTAAAAATACTGTGTTAAAGCGTATAAAACAATAAAAATTCCAATATGCAAACTAAGAGTTTACCTCTATTGTTTATTCTTTTAAGCTTCTCATAAAAATCCACTTTGTTTACCTCCAGAGGCATTTGCTTTGCAGAGCAAACGTTGCGCTTTTTGGGGCGGATGATGTCGATGGCTTGGGCTGGCTTGGACATACGCCAAATAACAGACAATTTATTTGTAAAAATGCTTTCGTGCTAGAAATACACTCGGAGGTTTTCGAATGTTTCAAACTAGCTAGCGAGGAGCGACCGGGCTCCGTGTTTTTTATATTGTTCAGATCAGGAAACATAATTAACTGGATTCTACCAAGTAGCGACTGGAAAGACAATTCACATAAAATCGTTCCTCGAATGTTCCTCGCAAGAATGTAGAAACAAAGTTAGAAAAGAAAAATAGAGTGAACTGCCAATGTGAAGGATCTTCTGCTTTCCAATTTCAATTTAATTGCTAAAGAGTTTCACCATTTACAGCTCTATCAAAAAATCTCCTTAACGTGGATGAATATTTGGACTGTGGTACAATGAGGTTACATGTGCGACTAGACTGTGCAAACGTTAGTTTTGAGTAAAGCCATCTATTCCAGCTATTTCCAATTGGCCCACAATTTTTTAGCACGGTGTTATTTTTTGAATGAATTTAAACAATAATTGAAAAAATATTTTCCTATAAGACATAATAATAATAATAATAGATTGGCGCTTACACGTATGTTAGTATCTGGCCGAGCTTTGACCGCTATGGGGCAGCTGCCCACTTCTCCTTCTTCTTTCCAACACAGACGAGGCCTTCCACTTCCTCTGATACCAACATAGCAGCCCGCGTGGAATACTTTCAGAGCAGGAGTGTGTCTGTCAATTTGAACTACATGGCCAAGCCAGCGGAGCCACTGAATTTTAATTCCCTGCACTATGTCTATATCGTTGTAAAGCTCATACTGCTCATCGTTAAATCACCTTCGGTATTCGCTATCGCCAACGCGCAAAGCTCCGAAATTCTTTCGCAGAATCTTTCTCTCGAAAACTCCAAGAGCCGCTTCATCAGATGTTTTCATTGTCCATGCCTCCGAGCTATACACCAGCACAGGCATGATGAGTGACTTATAGAGTGTGATCTTTGTACGACGAGAGAGGCCTTTACTTCTCAATTGCATACTCTGTCCAAAGTAGAAACGTTTAGTAAGAGCGGTTGTTCTTTGGATTTCAAGGCTGACATTATTAATGCTGTGTTAATGCTGGTCTCCAAGTAAATGAAGTTGTCTACTTTTTCAAACTTGGATCTGCCAGAGTATCTTGTTTGGTATCAAACAGCTCGGAGAGGTCCTTCCCAATTCTGACAGAGCTGATGGTATTGCTCAACGTCATTTACACAGCCGTATCAGTTCCGCCGTATCAGACATCGCGGCATAAAGACAACTTCTTTTCGTACTGTCGCAGGCGGCTTTGAAATCGACAAATATATGGTGTGAGTCGATCAGATTCTCGAGGGCCCTTTCCAAGATTTGGCGTATTGTGAATACCTGATCTATGTTGGATTCGCCAGGTCTAAAGCCACACTGATAAGGTCCAAACAGCTCGTTAATGGTGCGATCCAGTCTTTCACACAATACACTCGATAAGAACTTGTAACCTATGGTTAGAGAGCTGATCCCGTGGTAGTTGGTGCGAATGGCGGGGTTACCTCTCTTGTGGATTGGGCAGAGCACACTAAAATTCCAGTCATCGGGCATGCGTTTATCTGATCTTCCTTTGGCATTAGGGCTGATACATGCACCTTATCAACTCCTCGCCACCGAACTTGAATAGTTCAGCTGGCAGGATGCCAGCTCCAGTAGATTTGTTGTTTTTCAGGCGTGTTATTGCTATTCGTACGTCGTCAAAGTCAGACGGTGGGACATCGATCCCATCGTCATCGACTGGGGCGCGGGTTCATCTTCTACACTTCTCTCAGTGGTTCTGGCATTCAACACGGTGGAAAAGTGTTTCCTCCATAATTTAAGTACGTTCTGGACATCAGTCTCTAGGTCACCATGGTTGTTCTTACAGGAGTTCGCCCTGGTCGTACAACCTACCGTAAGTCGCCTAACTCTATGATAAAATTTTTGGGCGTTTATCTTATCGCCCAGCATTTCTATCTCTTCGCGCTCACGTATTTCGGTCTCTCTCTTCTTAATTCGGAAAATACGTCTCGCTTTCCTTTTCTGTTCCCACATGGCTCGCGTTGCGCTCGATCGTAGCGTGGACCTTTAGGCGGCATCTTTTTTCTCTGAAGTTTCTTGACACTCCTCAGCATACCAGTTTTTCTTTCTATCTCTAGACTCAAGATATTTTACATTTTCTTCTTTTTATTTATTGGCACAGTAACCGCCTAAGCGATTTTGGCTGAGTCCAAACGAGTATACGAGTCGTTTCTCTTCTGCGCCAACTGACGCTAATTGGAAATGCCAAGTCCTTCTCCATCTGGACTTTCCAACGCAGAAGGGCCTCCCTCTTTCTTTGCTGCCACCTGCGGGTTCCGAGTTGAGTACTTTCAAAGATGGAGCGTTGGTGTCCAAGCCAGCGTAGCCGCAGTATTTTCAACCACTGCACTCTGCCTTTATCGTTGGAAAGCTCATACAGCTCATCGTTCCATTGTCGTCTGTGTGTTGTCAGAGTGTTTCAACATGTAAATATTTTGAATACGCGATTGGATATAGTGTCGAGCTTTTACGGACTAAACGGGTTGCAAGCGGAAGTTGAGCTATGGCGCTCTTTGTGGCAAGGAAAAGACAACACAGATGGTAATTTGATTAGACTTGTATACGGAATCGGTTGTCTTTTATCCTCAGAATAATGAAGGCTGTCAAATACGTTTAGCTTTGCTATACTCAACTGCGTCCATTGGGAGGTCATTCAGCGCACTTCGGATTGTCAAAACATGGCTACGATCAACAATGCAAGAAGACCGCTTGCATGGCTTGTGCATGCTCAGCGTTCAACGCAAACTGGTTGAGCAAATGGTAGATGAACTGACGTTTTAAAGAGATTTTTTGAGGTTACCAGAAAACGTATACTTGCTTAAACCTAAACATTTCTATTTACATAAATATATACACAAAAAAACCAATAAAATTTTAAAAAATTTGCCGTCTATATAAACTAAAAGAACGCTTGACCTTACTCAGAGCATCTTCTCATATGTCCGTCCTCCTGTAAGGCACAGAAACATGACGATTGACGAACCAGATATGAGAACGCTTTAGGGGCTTTCCAGAGAACTGTCTACCTCAGGACCATGGCCTTGTTCGTGTGACGACGGATACCGTAGTATATATAAGTATAAGAACAATCGTATAAAACAAACGCATAAAAAGTCAGCAAAAGTGATGGCTGGTGCCGCTCCGGTGAAAAGATCCATTGACTCGGCAACTATGGGCAGACACCGAAAGCAAGAGCGCCCACGAGCATATATATAAACAGTACAGCACTCGGCTGGGTATTGGACCAAACCATTTTTTTTAAGAGGCCGAGTCATAAGTAAAAAAAGTAATGTCTCCGTTTTTCGAAGTTAGCCTCCGAAATCGAGATATGGTAAAATGGTTTTGGTAAAAAACTATTTTTAATTATTACATGTAAAAAGCAAAAAAAGTAAAAATACACACGTGGTCCGCCTTTTGCTCTTATGTATATGGTATATACATTTTTTTGTGAAAACTTATATTACAGGTGTTATAACGGGTCAAAGGTCAGATCTTCGAAAAACTAAAACTTAATATTTCAGAAAATTAAAAAAAAAATCATATCGTTGTAAAGGCGATATTTTAAACAAGAAAATTATCAACCGATTTTTAAACAATTAGTACCGTTGTAAAGGCAATTAAACCCCCTTTCTTCTGATAAGCATTTTTTTATACTTCGTATATAAAAATTTTAACTATAAATAACTTTTTTGCATAAAAAAATATTTTAAACAAAAAGATTACTAACCGTTTTTTAAAAAATTGGTACCGTTGTAAAGGCGATTAAACCCATTTCTTCTAATATGCATATTTGTATACTTCGTGAATGAAAATTTCAGAAAAAACACTTAAGAGGGAAAAAATAAATTTTTTAACAAAAGAAAAATGTAAACAAAAAAATGACTCACCGATTTTTAAAAAATTAGCATCATTGTTACGCCGATCAATCCCCTTTCGTTTAATATGCATATTTGTATATACAAGTTTGAGAAAAGACACTTAAAAGGAAAAAATATTAATTTTTTCCTATAAAAAAAAAATTACAGAAAATGTACTAATTAGTAATACAATTGAATACCGTATTTAAATAAAACAAATATTTATTAGTGTTTTATGCATTAATTCGTTCTTGTACACCCACAGCCCTGTTAAATATAAAGCAAAAGTATATGTAACAGAAGGCTAAGGCATATAAAAATATAAAAACACCATGGTTTTTGATTTTTTATATAACAGGTTATATATAAAAATTAAAGGTAATTTTCTGTTTTCTTTAAATAAAGTACTCAATTGTATTACTAATTAGTAATTTTTTTGTTTAAAATATTTTTTATAAGAAAAAATTGGAATTTTTCCTTTTAAGTGTTTTTCTCAAATTTTTATATACGAAGTATACAAATATGCATATCAGAAGAAAAGGCGTTTTAATCGCCTTTACAACGGTACCAATTGTTTAAAAAGCGGTTGGTAATTTTCTTGTTTAAAATATTTTTTTTTATAAAAAAAAAGTTATTTTTTCCTTTAAATGTGGTTTTTCTCAAATTCTTATATACGAAGTATACAAATATGCATTTAAGAAGAAACAGGTTTAATCGCCTTTACACCGATTAAAATAAAATATTGTTTTTTGTAAAAAAAGTTATTTTTTCCTTTAAATGTGTTTTCTTTTTTAATTCTTATACACGAAGTATACAAATGTGCATATCAAAAGAAAGGGGGTTTAATCGCATTCATGATAAAAACATAGCAAGGTAGAAC